AAATATAAACTTAACTTAAACAAACGTTGATATTACAATAAATATATAATAACAAATTCGTTACACTCGCAATTTCTAGATGTGATATTACATCACACTTGTTTGGCATTGGGAAAGGAGTGACTCTTCGGAAGTTGAGTAGTGACCCCGATTTTAAGAAACAGGCTGAATTGTTCTCCAGTGAAGCATCTGAGGATGATATCATCTGCACTAACGAGAAGGCTCTCACTCGTTTGTATGGAGGCCATCCTCCTGAGGACTTGGAAGCATTGCGTTACAGACTTTTCTAGTGTACAGATGCACAGTCTTTCCAATAAAGACATCAAAGTGCCTGGGTTTAATACCAAGTTCAACAATGTATGAGAAAATCTGACAACTTATATGCAGAAGAATGGAGATGGTGTCGAGGGCAGAATTATCTTGAGCTATAAATGACAGACTTACCACCAGTTACAGAGATTCTTTTTAGGGTTATCAAATGTAACTGCAAAACAAACTGCGATACATTAAGGCGAACTTGGGAGAGGATGGGATATAATGATTAGCTGTATATTGAAGTGCAGGGTTATAAAAGGTTATATAAGTAGTCTGAGAGTATTCACAGTCACATATGAGACAGAGAGAGCGAGTTCTTGCAAGTTAGGTAAGTTTATCATTTAGCGGTAAGATATTTTACTAATGTATGAATAATTCAATGAAAGTTATATATATATATAAATCGAATATGTAATGTAGATTTATTCTCAATAAAACTGCCCTTTCTTTCTTAATATCTTTTGGTTTATGTTTCAGCAAAACCAGTTGTCGATTCAAAACCGCCGCGAACATTAATGCATCTTCACTTGAAACTTCGGAAACTCCAGGTAGGAGAACAAACATTCTCTTTCCACATAAAACACGCTAAAAACGAATAATTGAAAATCAAAATCAAATCGGTCCGTCAAGATTTCTTTAATAACGTGCATCGGTTAAAAAGTACTTTTTATCAGTTTGACCCCATATCGAGTAGTTACTATTTAGACATTCCCAAGGATAATTATATTTTAATATCTACAAGAGTTGTATTGAAAATGTACTAATTAACTTGTTTGTTTTTAATATATATATATTTATGGAGAGGGCTACTTTGATGACACCACTTCAAAAATGGTATTTAAGAATATATATATATTATATGTACGTGTGTGTATATTCGAAATATACGCATATATTTCAGTTTCCAGTGCAAAGGAAAATGTTTACCTCAAACTTCAAAACTATACTCAAGGTTCAAATTCAATGTAAGATTCAGGAATGAGATGTGCTGTATCTCTAGCCTAAAAATCAATTAATGGTTCACATGTGCTTATTTTTTAAATCAAATCTTCAATTTCTAGCTTTCCATACTGTGAAAGTTTAATACTACATGGCGTCCTCCGGTGGGACAGCGATAACTTTACAGACTTACAACGTTGAAATCCTGGGTTCGATTCTCCGCGGTAGACACTGTAGATAGCATATTGTGGCTTTTGTTCTAAAAGAAAGAAAGAAATATTACATGGTAACAAAAGTTTCAAATGATGATTTTGCACTTAAAGATGGATCGTTCTGCTGATCACTAGTCTTTTGTATAGAAAACAAAACAAAGATCTTTGACTTTTTTGGTAAAATTTTACAAAACATCGAGTCAAGTTTGGCATATTAAGATTAAATTTTTCTTTTAAAGACGGATATGTATGTGCTCTGAGCCATAAACTATAAGAACTAAACTAAATGAAGAAGAGAAATAATATTTTATAGTATTTTTAAAATCGTATACAGTACTTTCTCTTGACGGGAGACAATAGTTTGAAGTGTTTTTTTTAACTGCGTGATAATCAGAACTATAAAATTTAGCTGTATAATTTTAAGATTGATATAAAGATGTTGTTATTTTTGTTTCAGAAAGAACAAGAACGATTATCTCTCATTCAGAGAGATAATCAGATGCTACAAGATAGAATGGCCTGTATCATGCGATCACGTGGGCGTTTGGACAATGAAAATCTCAACTACAAACAGAAAAGGTAAAGATTGGGGTATCTTATCATGCCCCCCCCCCCAGATTCTGCGATGAGCCTGAGGGCTTATAACGCTAAAAAATGATCAGGTTTCGATACTCGTGGTGAAAAGAGCAAGGATAGTCCATTCTGTAGCTCTTTGCTTAACAACAACAAAGAAACTTTCCAATATTTGAAATTATTTTTAATGTCTTTTTATAGCTAATGATGGATTTTTTTGTTACAGTTTAAACACAACTTATCGCCAAATGGAGATGATACGACTAGCTCATGAAAATCAGGCTATTATACAAAGATTGATGGCTGTTGATCCTGAATATAATCATTTACGTATGGAAGATGAATATAGGGTATGTCAGTATTCTTAATTAGTTCCCTGTTGTTCTGATTAGCAAGCCACAATTTTTGGATGGACTTGAAGAATCAACAGGGTACCACTTAAGTCAGTATCTCAGCCTTCAACCTAGTGCTATTTCTAGGCATTTAAAGTTAAATAATATCTGTATTTTTATTTGTGTTTGTATATATTAATTGAGGGTAGGTTAATGTTTCATTATCTTAAGAATTGTTAAGGCAGAAAAGTAAAATGTATTAGTCGTATTTATAACAATCTTTCGCCAACAGTGGGATAAAATATGCAGTACAATTTTCAAATTTATTAATTAATTCATTATACTGTGATTCCTCGTATTACTTTTTTACCGTTGCACAATTCCAAGTAATCTTATTCAACTAATGTTACTTCTGTTCCGTTTCCTTTACCTATTTAAAGTGGCGCCACCCCAGTGACTCAGCGGTAAGTCTGGGCGTATGACGCTAAAAATCAGGTTTCGATACTCGTGGTGGGTAAAGCTCTATCATATTTTTTTCAGTCTCTCGCTTCCTTCATGAATCATAGCCTCTATCGTATTAAATTTTCTCTGTGTAAATATTTTATTTTCCTATTCTTGGGGTAACTTTGAACATATTCGTCGTTTATAGCTGCACTTCTTGGATTCCATCTAGTGTTGTTATATTATCTATCGTTTCTCCTCGATTTTTGTAAATTATTGTATGAATTACCCTCTTCTTTCCTATTACAAGCCTTTTGAGAATCATTCACTCCCTTTATAAGATTTTCCCTTTCTCTTGATTTTTTCATCCTTCTTTAGTTGTTCTATAAACCACTCCTATTTTTGTCTCCATATTTCTTTAATTCTTCTCTCTCCCATTCTACATAAGTCATTCCAATATGTCTGCGGACTTACCATGCTAGAAACTGGGTTTCGATACCCGTGGTGGGCAGAGCACAGATAGCCCGTTGTGTAGCTTTGTGATTAACTTCAAAACAAACAGTTTTAGTGAATTTTATCGTTTGTTTTTCCTCTCTTAACTTCCTGAGTGTCAATTTCAATCCTCAATATTTTCAGTTCTAGTTTTTTCTTCATTTATTGTTTTATCAGATTTGAAAGGTATTAATGGGGGATCCTCTTGAATGGTATTATTACATAATTTACTTAATTTTTGTGCTCCGAAACTTCTCTAATATGCAAATTTTCTTTCTTTCCAAAAATCATACAAAATACTGTCAAATGTTTTTCATATACTCTTTTCTGAAGATCATGATTTCTTCCCGAGAATCTACTTTCTGTCTGATATATATGTCGTTAGTTGATTGTAACTTATAGTCACGCATTCCGTTAATTCTTCTTCTTTTTTGCCTCCATTTATCAAAAATTCTTCTTAATTTCTCTAAGAAAGCTTTGAATATTTGTCCCACTTTTGGAACTGAATCCTTAAAATTTATTTATTTATCTTTGGAAAAATTCTCTCACTAAATCCCATCCATAAATCTGATTATTGAAAAACAAACAGATATTATAGATATAACCAAAACACTACAATACTTGAACTTCTGTTTTTCTATATTTTCTATTATTTTCCATCGGTTTCGGGACTTCAGAGGTCACTCTTCAGGATATAATTTTACAGAAAATCTATAATGAAAATATTCTTCATATTACATTTTGTTCAGTGTAACTCAGGGATGATTCTTAGGTGAATTAGGAGAGAAACTGAATGCGATGTGAGTATTGTCAAGTTACTTTATTTTGCTATGTTTCTGAGATATCGCCTACTGTTTGAACCATTCGATGTTCTTTCATATTCACCGCTGTTGTGGCATGCTTTCAAGGATTAATATCTATTTTAAAATTCAAAATAAGTCGTTAACTGTCTCAACTATGTAGAAGCATTGAATTCATTGATTCATACTGCTGGCGCTAGAATTAGTACATAACGTAAAATTTGCGAGAGGTAGGGTAAGGATGCTTTACAAGCGCCCAGTCCAACATTTGCCGTCACACTTTCTGGAGTTGCTTCCAGTTGCAGAGATAAATGGCGAAATACGGGTTATTTTGAAAGCCATTTTAAAGTAGTTATTATATTTTTACAATCACACTTTGCTAAAATGTACACACTAAACTTTCCTCTTCATATTCATACCACTAAGAAAAAAAAATAATACTTACCTCCCCCTTTTTTTTAGTAATGGGCAAATATTGGGCTACTGAAAATTTTGAAATTTTCTCTAAAACTTCAAGTGGCTAAAGAATCAAAAGTAACCAAAGCTGGTAAATGAAATATGCAGACCTCTTTTAAAGATGAATAATGTTAAGGATAAACCAAGACATTTGCATTTTTTAATTCTGAAGAAGAGTAGTAAACAGAAAAGTCTAAGTAGCTTTGTTCGTTCTTCTTTTTTATTTATTTTGGCTCCAAAACTATCTTTTGTTTTATTACCAAAGTCGAAATCTTCAGACTGGTTTTCACTCGGGGCTCATTTTGTTAGGTAGTCATGGCATTTTGCGATGCGAGTGACTAAAATTACTGGCGAAACAGCTTTCTAGCAGGAAATTATCCAGGCAACATAGTTCGCGTGCAATATCATAAATGAAGATGAAAGTTATTTGTTTTTTGTTTATGGCTTAAAGTAAACAAACCTAAACATAAAACCCGTCTCGCTAGGTTCAAGTGAAAGGAACAATACATAACGTTATGTAAAAAGCACACATTGAGGGTCAGCTGGATTATGAGTTCTATATATATATATATATAGTAA